TCCTGCCTCAGCCTCCCAAGTAGCTGGGACTACAGGCATGTACCACCACACCCAGCTAATTTTTGTATTTTTAGTAGAGACAGGGTTTCACCATGTTGGGCAGGCTGGTCTCGAACTCCTGACCTCAAGTGATCTGTCCACCTTGGCTTTCCAAAGTGCTGAGATTACAGGGATGAGCCACTACACCCAGCGTTTTTTTTTTTTTTTTTTTTGGAGAAACACAGTCTCACCTCCAATGCCCAGGCTAGGGTGCAATAGCCTCAGCTCTGTCTCCCAGGCTCAAGCAATTCTCCTGCCTCAGCCTCCCAAGTAGCTAGGATTACAGGCATATGCCATCACACCCAGCTAATTTTTGTATTTTTAGTAGAGACAGGGTTTCACCATGTTGGCCAGGCTAGTCGTGAACTCCTGACCTCAGGTGATTCACCCAACTTGGCCTCCCAAAGTGTGAGCCACCAGGCCCTGAAGAATTTCTGCATTTTAATACAGTATAGTGACAACAGTGATACCATCAACTTGCCAGGTGATACACCTGTGTAAAGAAAACCAGTCTGAAAGATATACATTAAATTCAACAGCACAGACTCAGTCACTACTATTTCTGAATGATGTGATTACTTCTTAAAAATGTATTCTTTAAAATGACAAAGTTATATATATTTATTATATATATTTATTATGTACACCCTGTTGCTTTGAAATACATGCAATGGTTCAATTGAATTGCATTACCTCACATACTTATTTTTTCTGGTGAAAACACTTAAAATCTACTCTCTTAGTGCTTTTCAATATACAATACATTGCTGTTAACTGTAGTCACCATGTTGTAAATGTATCTCTTGCATAGTCACTATTTTAAGTGAACAATTTATTAAAAGTGTCCATATAGGCCAGGCACTGTGGCTCACCCCTGTAATCCTAGCACTTTGGGAGGCCGAGGTGGGTGGATCTCCTGAGGTCAGGAGTTCAAGACCAGCCTGGCCATCACGGTGAAACCCCATCTTTAATAAATAAATAAAGTTTCCATACATAACACACTAAGAATAGTAGAAGGCCTGAGACCAGAGCCACCAGAGGGAGGAAAATATGTGTATTTCCGAAAATAATCTTTAAGTGTGTAAGTAGCAGTATCCTTGTAGAAATACAAGTCTTTAAGGGATCAATTACCTGAGGTGAAATAAAATGGCCACAAACCTTTGTTACTCACTCTTTTTTTTTTTTTTTTTGAGATGGAGTCTTGTTCTGTCACCCAGGCTGGAGTGCAGTGGTGTGATCTTGACTCACTACAACCTCCACCTCCCAGGTTCAAGCAATTCTCCCTGCCTCAGCCTCCCATGCAGCTGGGATGACAGGCACCTGACACCATGCCTAGCTAATTTTTGTATTTTTAGTAGAGACGGGATTTCACCACGTTGGCCAAGCTGGTCTTAAACTCCTGATCTCAGGTGACCCATCTGCCTCAGCCTCCCAGAGTGCTGGGATTACAGATGTGAGCCACTGCATCCAGCCCCACATTGCCAAATTTATAAAACATGCCATTTGTAGCTGGATTCAACAATCTTTAAGGGCCAACTGGCTATAATATTATAACTAAAAATACTAAAAAATAAACATCATATACAATATGACATCACATGCTAGCATATTCCAAATTATCTAGTAGTTACTGAAACACAGGGCTAAATTTAACAGTTATTTTATATGAATCCAGGTATGCATCTTCAGACAGCTCAGATGTTCAAAGATCACTATAACATACTACCAAGTCTCCCACTTTAATAGTTCCTGATCTACTGGAACCTTCTCTTGATCCCTCAAACAACTTCTTTCTGGCCTTAGGATCTCTGCACATGCTAGTCTCTCTGTACACAATGACTCCCTCAACCTCTACATGTCTCCTTAACCCTGCAAAGCAGGCTCTGTGTAATCCTGAATTGTCATTCATTTAGAGAGGCCTTCCCTAAGCACTCCTGATATTCTCCCCCAAGCTATACTACTTTTTACTATATGGCATTTATTACAAATTATAGTTATACCTTTATTAGCATATTTAGTTTTAAAATATCTCCCCCACTGAATCATATAACCAATAAGGGCAGACATACATGTCTGTTTCATTCACTACTCAATACCAACACCTAGCATAATGTATGAACTTCAAGTTTACTTGCTATATAAAAATTTGCCATAACAAATGGCCATTTTACTTCCAGATTTAATCACCGTGTGTAAGCTTTAGTAGGAATCTCATTCATTACTGAACAGTCCTTTTTTTTGGTTACTGAACAGTCCTTTCCACCACCAATTCCAACAACCACTACTTGTATTCCAAGAAAATAGCTTGGGTTAGAATTACCAGAGAGAAAAGAGTGAAATTACCCAACAGAGTTGGGATTCAAACTACTATAACCACACAGCCAACTTCTCAATCCAGGTTATTCTGAAGCGCCTCTCTTAGTAGTACTCAGGATCACATTTTTGCGGGTATTTTGCCTTAAGATTTTTTTTTAATGCAGTAATACCCCAATACACTACACTTACATTCTATGTTTTTCTTTACCTTATAGAAATTAAAGGGCATTAAAATGTACCCCAAAAGTTCTTTAGTGAATACTTAACAATTGCCAATAGATAATGTCACTGTTTTTTTTTTTT